AAAAAAGACAAAAAAAAGACAAAAAAAAAAAAAAGAAATTTGGCAGACTACTACCAACAGCAAGTCAGGAAATATAAGGGAAAAAAATTGAAAAAAAAATTAAAAATAGCCTCAATGACACATGCATAATTGCACATAGAAAATTACTGAAGAACATAAATGAAAACTTGAACAGAGAAATACCCAGGGTTTTAGAATGAGATGACTCAACATTATAAAGGTATTAACTGTTCTTGATATATCTGTACATTAAATTTAAATCAAAATTTCAAAAAGTAAATTTGATTTTCTATTTTCTTGACTACTTTGTGCTTTATCTGAATATGTTGGTTTCCTCCACCGTTCTCGTCTATGATCCTCTTTTGTGGAAGCAGTTTTTTCAGCTTCTTCTAATTTCAACTGAAATACTTCCATTGACTACAAAGGACAAAAATTAAGACATTTAAAATTTAAAAAGGCTCAGTGACTTGCTCCCCACATGCCACTGTACTATGACAAGTGGCACAATAAAAGAAAAAACCATCAATGGGGGAAAAGGGGAAGACCCTTACAATCATCCCACACTGAAATGAATACTTTTTACAAACATGAGTGAACAGTAAAAGATTACCAAATAACAAAAACAGATCCCAAGAGGATAATCGTGTTGACCAAAGGCTCTGCTCTAACACAAAGTACAGTACAGAAAATGGTAGAGACATAAACTTTCAAAAACATAATAAATTCCTACTGGTAGTTAGATTCAAGAGTATTGCTAAAACAATATTACTTTTTTATACTGTATTTGTATAAAAAAACGGGCTCTCATAAAAAAAAAGAACACTTCAAGAACAAGAAAATGAAAAACTATGTGTCAAAAAAAAATTTTTTTTAAATGTCCTGATATACTGAGTAGAAGAAAAGAAAGTGCTATTTTTTAAATGTCCTGATATACTGAGTAGAAGAAAAGAAAGTGCTAAAAACCAAATTAGCCTGGGAATTCTCTATACTTTAGGAAGAAACGGTAAATAAGAAAAAGTCTTGGACAATTGATTCTAGAAAATCTAATATGCATGTACTAGTACTTCCAGAAAGATGGAGCAAAGGTGAAGGAAGAAAAACATTAATTTTTAAAAAAAGAAGAAAATTTCTCCCGGATGATTTTCCAGATTAGAAGCGCTCATCCAATAACCTCAGGGGAAAGGAAGTGGAGAAAGGCTTACACACACCCCCAGAAAAAATCCTAATTCCTTAATCTCAAAACTCAAGAAAAAAAAATTCTCCACAAACACTGGATCACAGGAAAGAGTGAATCAGTGTAAGTGTGTATATAGATGGAAGCAGGTAGATAACACATTACCTACAAAGGAAAGAAAGACTGCTGTCAACTTTCAACTTTAATTCTTAATGGACAATGCAATAAAGATCAAACTTTGAAAAAAATTATTAGGCTATAATTCTATATAAAAAATTAAATTCACAAACTATCCTTCCCTGGTATAGGCAAAAGAAAATCATTTTCAAAAATGCAAGGAATGGTTGGGTGGTTAGTTCACTTGGTTAGAGTGCAGTGTTATAACACCAAGGTCAAGGGATCCCCATACCAGCCAGCAACCAAAAAAAAAATGCAAGGAATCATAAGACAAATCACCTAATAATTCTGGGGAAAAAAATTACTCAAGATGATTAAGCCAAACCATAAATGAATTAGGGCAATGTGTGAAGTTTAATACAGTTGTCAAGGAGAGATGCATCATACATAGAAACAGAGAGTAGGAAGGTTATTACAAAGTTGGAGGCAGGGGAAAAATGGGAGATGAAGGTCAAAGGGTACAACAACATGTCAGTTACATATGATAAATAATTGTAGAGATGCGAGGTACAGCATGAGGACTGTAGTTAGTATTGTATCATACATTGGAAATTTGCTAATTTGATTATAGGTACTTTTACTACAAAAATAAAAAAGGTAACCGTGTGAGATGATGAATATGTTAATTTGCTTGACTCTAATAATCATTTCACTATGCATACGTATATCAAAAGATCATGCTTCTTACCCTAAATATATATAATACAGAAAAACTTTTTAAACAATTAAAATTTTTTTTAAAAAGCAAAAAAAAAAAACACTTCTTACTAAACTGAATACAAGGATACTTTATCTAACCATGATAATCCTCATCTTAAATCCTAGAAGTCATCATTTAAACACAGAAAGACAAGAACACTAGATTCCAGTGCTTTTCTCAAAGTTCTAAACTTCGATTTCAAAAAGAAAAGGAAATTTAAATATTTTAACATTGAAGGGAAAAAGCAAAATAATCATCATTTGCATGCTACCTTCCCAGATAACCCAAGATTAAAAAAAATTTAGAAATAATAAGAGTTTGTTAGAAATTTGGCAGACTACTACCAACAGCAAGTCAGGAAATATAAGGGAAAAAAATTGAAAAAAAAATTAAAAATAGCCTCAATGACACATGCATAATTGCACAGAGAAAATTACTGAAGAACATAAATGAAAACTTAAATAGAGAAATACCCAGGGTTTTAGAATGAGATGACTCAACATTATAAAGGTATTAACTGTTCTTGATATATCTGTACATTTAAATTTAAATCAAAATTTCAAGAAGTAAATTTATAATGGATTTTAGAAAAATGTTTATTTCTGTTGAGCTTAAACTTGACAAAATGATTCTAAATTGAATAAGAAAAATTGAATAAACAAACACACAAGAATGAAAACTACTTTTTAAAATTACTAACAAGACTTACTTTGCCACACAGTAGGTGTTCACTAATTATTCGCTATCTGTTAATCATTTACTGAAAAGTACAATAATTATAACAGTATAAAACTAATTGCAGGCAAAGATAGAAAAATCAAGGAAACACCCATGAGAATAAAGGAACAGACCCACATATATAAGAAAATCTAATGTATAACAAACGTGTCATTTCAAATTAATGGGAAAAGAATAATTCATTCAATATATCATAAAAAACTACCTAAAGACTTTAGGAAAATTAGATGCCTACTTTGCAACATACACAAATATGTTCCAGAAAGATGAAGGATAAACATAAAAA